AACAATCTTAAAATGAGATGCAAATGAAAGCTAACAAACTTCTCCATAAACCATATATACATCACTTGCCGATAGGACTGATAGTTTCTGACAGATTAATTAATCATTCCAGTTTTTTTTTTATTCTTTAACGAAAAAATGGAAAAAAATCTAACTTTTACCAGAAGAAATATTTAAAAATAACAGATTCTGTGCCAAATTTACTGATAGTACTGATAGTTTCCTAAAAATTAGTTAATCATTCCAGTTTTTTGTATTTTTTAATGAAAAAATGGAAAAAATCAAATCAGTTCAAAAACTCCATATGTCAGAAAATTTTCAACAATGCGCTATTTCAGCATTTGATTGAAGAACGCCCTATTTTGGAATTTAATTAAAGCATTCAGAATAGTTCAAAGCCTCCTAGAATTATTGTGTACGTGAACGATTAGTGGGTTCTTCACATGAAAGATAAAATCTGAAATAGGCATTCTTCAAAATGAAGGACTTCTTAAAAGTTTGGTAGCGTTTTCGAACTGGCTGCCGAGATAGGTCGATCTTCAACTCAGCATCGAATGTGCTCCTCGATTCGAATCACAAGCATCCAGATTTAAAAATAAAAACTGGTTCATAGGCATGTCATTTTTATGAGCTGTTAAGGCAAAAAATACCGAATACGGGATAAATACGGGACATTAAAAAAAATACAGAACATTTGCGTCCGTATGAAATAAATAAATTACCAGGACAAAGGACGAAAAAAGAGGACTGTCCCGTATAATACAGGACGGATGGTCACCGTACCTATAGGGCCAAGCTGCGATCGGGCACAACGCGAGCCATGTGGGACCACACTCTAAAGTTCCTCATCATGCCCGTGCTGGTGTATGGCGCCGATGCATGGACAATGACTACAGCTGATGAGGCGGCTCTTGGAGTATTCGAGTGAAAGATTTTGCGGAAGATTTACGGGCGTTAGGCGTTGGCGTGGGGAGCACCGCAGACGATGGAACGATAAGCTGTATGAGCTTTACAACGACATGGATATAGTGCTGCGAATTAAAACACAGCGGCTCCGCTGGCTTGAACTCGGCCAAAATCGCTTAGGTGGCTACAGCGCCAAATAAGAAGTATGAATACCATATTGATAAATATTGCAGGATGTAAAGTGCTGCCAGATTTATAATGTTGAAGTTAAATATATTTGAGGGATGCATTTATATAAATTCAGAAAACCTTGACAAAACAAATCTAAATAATGTTTTACAAAAAATACGCCGAAAACATACTTGACAGTTAAAATATGCGCTATACCTCAAAATAGGCTATCATATGCAAAAATGGCGAAAATATTCAAGAATATGCTTTTAGGTTAATCATATTTATATCTTCTCTATTATCACCAATCCCGAAAACCCCCATGGAAAACGTTTAAAGCGAATCGGATCGACTAGAATTTGTTTGCTGCCATATTGGGTCTGCCATTTTGAATTTTTCCAGCCTGACCTCAGATTCGTAAAATCATGGTCTAGGTTCATAATCGCAATGTCAAAACATAAGAACCTGCTGTTACTGTTTCTTTTTTAGTGTTGGGTTCTCCGGTGGCACACAAGCTGTAAAGCAAAATCTAATTTACGGCTAGTTTAAACGCAATATTTGAGACACCATGTTAAATTTTGCAAACGGCCACACTGTTTTCGATGGGGGGCTCTAATTTTAAGACCTTAATCTTTGTAATCCGTCCTATAGAATTTTTGGCCATCTTACTGTATCGGTTGACGTGATGCGGAAATGAATTTTTAAGCCGTTTCCCTTACATTGTAAAATACGATTGAAATTAAGAGCTTCTTAATTCATCGCATTCTATACACGCGGTCGTGATCTCAAGCGTCGTACAAAGAAAAAAATAAAATCGTACATACATAAGTTGTGGAGAATAAAATGCTCTACAACTCTGCAATTTGAATATGCTACGTATTTTCAACAGAAATTGTTGAAAAATTGCGAAAACCATGACAACGTAAACATTTTTCGCAGTTTTTGCTAATTATTTACAATGAAGTTGCTTAATCATTGAAAGTGAAACAATCTATGCACCCAAAACCACATTGCAATGTTACCATATTAAATTAAGTGGCAAGGACTGTGAATCCATATATCTACGTTTCAAATAGAAGTAAACTGCATCAAAAAATCGCTACTACAAATTATTTTTTTCTTCGCACCAATTTGATTTAATCTTACTGGGATAAATGTTTTGTAATGTGTTAATCCGGTGTGATGCTAATGATTTGAGAGTGCGAATAAAAAGTGTACGCTCCCTTCAAAATATTGAGCAAAAGGATATAAAGAATACTTACATATTTTCAACCGTGCAGCCCAGAACAATATAGATGAGGATACATATTGTCATAAGAAGAAATGCGCAGAGTATCTGTTCGTGTCATTGTGTGGTTTCAGTTGACAATAAAGAATTTCAATATAATTCCCCAATCTACCCATACGATCGCAGTTAGTTGTTCCACGCACATAGGCGCATCGCTCATTGTACTCCAACATTTGCACCGCACTGCAACTTGGCTATAATATTTACATATGTAACTAGTAAATGCCTTGTCATTTGGATATAATTTTCACTTACCAGCTGCGAGTAAGAAGTAAAGAGTTCTTCAGACATTGTATTTATCCAGTATGAATATTTAGTAGTATTTTTAGCGAAAATTCCGCAAAAAAAAAAATGTATTTGAATTGAAATTATGTCAAACAACTAAATGCAAATAAAAAGTTGTGAGATTTAGGTCTGTAAAAGCTGATCATAGATTATAAGGTTACAAAGTAAACAATAGTATTTTTTTCGCAACTGTCAAATGTAGATGTGTAGAAACAACAAATTTGTACAGGCGTGAAAACATACACAAGGGCAGACACCTTATATAAACGTACAGATTAGGTAAAAAAGCACTTAACTAATCAGTAGAGCAAAAACAACATTTGCGTGTATTTTGTTGTTGCTTCTGGTATCGAAAGTGTAACAACTGTTCTGAATTTTTTCTTCTAAATCAAAGCGTGCCATGTGAAATACAAAAAATTATAAAAAATAAAAAATTGAAATTGGAAAAAATAAAAATTGATGCAACTTTCTTTCCTAGTAAATTTCTTTGCTTTCGAAGCATTGATCCATCCTTTGCAAGCCCAGTAATCAGCGGTCG